ACCAGAAAATGTGGAGGTCTTCAATAATTGGGACTTAAAATCTAGTTCTGGTGTGAAACCACTCAGAGTGGACAGGGAATGTATTGTGATGATGCCTTAGGGGCCTCCTTGGACAACAACTGAAAGGGAAGTAGCCCTCGCCAGTAATGGGATTTTATTCAATAGTCTTATGGGTTTTTGATATTTCTTTTCCCACTCAGATAAAGTATCTTTTACATTTAAATGTTCCAAATGCTTTTCTTATTGTTCTTCGAGGCTTTTAAAAAGTTTGTAAGACAATCAGATTTTAGCATTGTATCATCTATATAATACATTTCTTTATAGAGGGAGGGCATGATGTCTGAAGACCCACTACCACCCAGGCCACACAAGTGAAAACTGGTCTTGGGACATCATCAGATAAGGGGATTCAACTACTCACCCCAACAACAACAGAACCAAAATAAAAAATACTTTAGCAAGATTTGACACAGATTTAACTCCCTGTAAGCCACAGTCATTTCAGAACAGCCATTTTGTTTCTTTACTGGCCACACCAGCCTGCCAAAAGAATTTTAGGGCAGGTGGATAATCTCCACCCCATGTCCCACCTTCAGATGGCTCAGCCTCAGCATGCCTTTTTTACCCATAGCAGGGGACATGCTGCTTCTCTGCCCAGACTTATCCTCCATTCTTTCATGTCCCTGTTCAGGTGCCAATTTATTGTGTTCCTTTTCTTTCTTTTTCATTTTTTAAAGATATAATTTATTTTTATTTTATGCGTTTAAGTGTTTGCCTGTATGTACATAGATGTACATGTGTGCAATGCCCACAGAGGCCAGAAGAGGGCATTAGATTCCCTGGAACTGGAGTTAGAAGCAGTTGTTAGCCGCCATTCGGGTGCTGGGAACTGAACCCAGGTCCTCTGCAAGAGCAGCCAGTGCTCTTAGCTGCTGAGCCATCTCTCCAGCTCCTGTTGTGTTGTTTTCCTGGGAGATGTGAAAAAAAAAAAACAAAACAGCTCTTTTCCACAGATAAGGAACTGACAGACCAAGGAAATTATTTTGTCCAAGTCTAGTTTGGTGAACCAAAGAGTTTATCAGAGTTACTTATAGGAACATGAGGGGTCACCTACAGAAACTTGGATGACTCTAAAGCAGCTGCATCTCCCCAAACCCCACTCAGTATGGATGATGAATCATGCCAGCTGCAGCCCTAGAGTCCCAACTGCCATGAATCTTTGGTGAGGGTCTGTAACTTTGCTTTTCCTCCTTCTTTTTTAAAAAAATTATAGTTATTATTTTAATTTTATGTATGAGTGTATTGTGTGCATGTATGTAAGTGTACCTATGTCATGTAATGCCTGTAGAGGTCAGAAGAGGGCATCGGATCCCTTGGAACTGCAGTTATGGACAGTTGTTATCTGCCATGTGGGAGCTGGGAACTGAAGCTGGGTCCTCTGCAAGAGTAGCCAGTGCTCTTAACCACTGAGCCATTTCTCCAGCCCCCTTCCCCTCCTTCTAAGGGATGTTAACAGATCTGTCATGATCACCACAGACCTAACTATCACTGCGCTTTCTGTGTATCTTGTTGCCATGACATCAGTGCCAATGTATTCTGAAGACCAATGTTTATGTCATGCCTCTAGGAAATAGTCACACTACAAGAGTCCTCCTGGTGACCCTAACTTCTACCCTTGCTCCTGCCATCCTGACACAGAGTGCTGCTACTCCCCCACAGGGTGATTGGGGGATGCAGTAACATCTATCTGCTCAGGTGAGACAGTGGCTTCTGCTGTCTTGTCATGGTTTTGTAGGCTGGTCTGGATCGTCACAAGTACTTCCTGTACTAGCTGGCCACTGTTCCTCCTATGCAGGGGTGCTGCAGTGAAGTTTCCAACTTGGAAGACATACAGGGCCCTTGAAGAGTCTTGAGCAGTGTCATCTGGTAGGCGTCTTGGAGCTGAGATTCAGCACACAGGAGCCCCACAGGCCTTCGGAAATGGCAGCGCAAGCAGAGGTTCACAGAAGTGTTACTGGAAACACTTGGGGGAGTCCTACTAGAGTTGTTACCTGGGAAAGTGGGGTCCCCTTGGGGTTCCTAGTCTCATTAATAAAGGAAATTAAGAACGGACTCAAAAGAAAGCTCAAGGACAATTTTATTAGAATTTAAAAAGAAAACCCCCGAACAGGCAAGCTGTCAATCTCCATTCTTGCCTAGAGGAGGAAGATGGAAAAGAAGAGAGAAAACCACACCGAGTTGAGCCAGCGTGAAGGTCTTACGCATGCTGGGCAAGCAGCCATGTGGCAGGGAGGGGAGCATTGGAAAAGTAGTAAGGAAGCCCACGGCACCCAAGAGAGCATGCTTAGACTCCAATCAGCATCCAAAAGAGAGAAGAAAAGAAGGGAAGCGACGAGAAGGGAAGAGGAGAAGAAAAGAGGAAACTTACGCCTTCCTGAGTTAGGACTCAGAGAGGCAGGCCAACCCAAAAGAACTTCATGATAACAGGTACTGACTGCACATGGAGGTAGGACTTTGGGAAAGAAAACGTATATTATCTCATTAAATAGAAAAATTATTCTTCCTACCTCTTTAACATGGATCTGCCTTCCTAGGGGTCATCCCACCTTCCTGAGGGTCAGTCCCTGAGCCAGGGACCTGCACAATTAAATGAACTTTTATGTTTTGGGTAGCTTGGATTGCTGGGTTCTACTCAGTCCAGAGAAATAGTTTTCCCTAGTGGGCCCCACAGAGGCCCGCAGATCAGGACTACTGTAACAGCAGGATTGCAGTGAGGAGAGGGGTGGAGTGGGTTTTCTTAGAGATGAGCAGAAAGCTGTCTACATAGTCACAGGCTGGGGGCAGACAGCATGGTCTTGTTCCCTCCTAGGGCTTCCAAGTCCTACCACGGTAAGGTGGTGAGCTGTTCCTCCTAATCAGGTGCTGCTTCCTTCTTGGGATGCTAGAGGAGGGTGTAGAACTGACAGGCTGTACTAAGGGACTCTCCCTCCCTGTGTCTGTCACTTTCCATACAGGGGAGCGACGCAGAATACATCCTTGCAGGGACCAGCTATAGTTGCCTGTGCACTGTGCATGTCTTCCTGACGTGTGTGAGACTGAGACAGGTGGAGAGAATTTAGCAGTGTCACAGAGTATTGCCTGGGTGTTCAGAGGTGACAAGTCTGTGTGAAGCAGCAGATGACATGGGGCTCCGAGGCTCTGCTTAGCTCCACCTCCTTCACACCTCTACTGATGTGAATTATAAGATGCTAAATGCTGGAGACTTCCATGCCACACCCTTGATATGTGAGACAATGACTCCATCTGATGCCTGGCCATCTCTTCCAGGAGGAGTTGGCTATGCTGTCTTTTGTGGTGGGTTGAAGGATTTTCATGTACAGAAGGACCACATCCCACTTGGCCGGCAGTCCAGCTTTACCTCTGCCCTCAGCTGGGCTCTGCTGTCTCCCTCATGTTCTGCTCACGTTACTCTCTCTCAGCCTGCTGCAGATGGAGGGGAAGAGAGAATGAACCACCCTAACTTCTTCCCCAGTGTCTTCAAACTAGTCTAGGAAGGCTTATGGACAGAGGGTGAGGAAGGTCTTGGCACGTTTTCAGGTTTAAGATGCAATTCTGTTTTGTAACCAAATCCTGGGCACTACTGTGGCTGCAGGCCACACTCTGCTGGGCCCCATGCCTTCCCTTACAGGCTTTACCCCTGCTGTAATATCTTCTGATCTTGTCTCCTCTCATTTCTCTCATCAAGAAAGGAAGAACTGAGACGTCTTCATAACTCCATGGAAGGGAAAGGACTTGCACTAGCTCCTTAGAGGCTGAGGGCTGAGTTCTGACTGAGGAATGGAATAGTTTGGTGCCTCTTTCAACCAGGTGTTGGAAAGTGGTGTTTGGAATTGAGAATGGATCCTTCCCATCATAGTCAGTTGGGGAAATCTTGTGGTCTACCTGACACTCTGGAAGTAGCCTTAATGGATAAAGGCAATGCATACTTGTATGTCTGTGGGCAGGTGGAGAGCCTTTATGTGAGCAATCTTTTGTTTTCTCCCCATATGCATCTGTACACATACTGACCTCACATGGCACATTTGGACAGATTTGAAAACCCATTTCCACAGAGCCTCCTGCCTGACAGTAAAAAGTTACCCAAACTAGGATAATCCATTGTGTTCTGACATGAAGATGAAGCAGGCGGCAACCCCACTGTAGAACCTGAGGTTGCATCTGTGTACGCCTGAGAGTACAGCTACATAGACTTGAGTTATAGTGACATGGACCCGAAGCTATGTTTACAGGGATCTGAGGTCATATATACATGTTCATAGAACAGAGGCTGCTACTACATAGAGTTGAGACCACATGTACCTGAAGTCACATGTACATAGACCTGATGGCACATGTACATCCACCTGAGGTCCCATATATGTAGACCTGAGGGCACATGTATATAGACTTGAGTCCCATGTGCACTGACCTGAGTCTACTTGTACAACCATATGAGGTACACTTGTACATGGACCTGGGCTGCATCTGTATGGACCAGGGAACACTTATAGACTGATTGGTTTCCCTTGGACAGAGTCCTTGAAGCATCATGACTCTTGGAATGTTATCCTTAGCCTGTGATATCCTTAACCTTAGTTAGGTTCCCATCCCCAATACAGTGATTGAATCTAGGTCCTTGCACATGCTAGCCAAGCAGTCTAGCACTGAGCTGCCTCTCTCTCTCTCTCTCTCTCTCTCTCTCTCTCTCTCTCTCTCTCTCTCTTTCTCCCCACCTCCATCTATCCTTGTCTTTTTGAGACAGCATCTCCCTGAAGCCCCAGCTAGTCCTGGAATATACTATGTAGGTCAGTCTGGCCTCCTCAGTCTCACAGAGATCTGCCTGCATCTGCCCCCTGTGTACTGGGACTAAAGGCATGTACCATCATGCCTGACTTTTAAAAATATGTATTTTAAGTTCTTTCTCTCTTTTTTTCTCTCTCTGTATGTGGACATGAATGTAGGTGCCTGAGGAGACCAGAGGCTTTGAATCATCTGGAGTCATAGACAAATGTGAGTTGGGAATTGAACTCATGTCCTCTAGAAGAACAGTATGCGCTCTTAGTCTCTGAGTTTTCTCTCTAGGCCATTTTATTAAACAGTTTTGGGACTAAGTCCTCCAGGCTGGCCTTATACTCATTCTAGCCCTTAAACTTGAGATCATCTTCTCCCATCGCTTGAATAGCTGGGATCAGTCATGTGCCACCAGGCCCTGCTGAATTTAGGTTTGCTGTTAAGTGGAGGAAGCAGGTAATCAATGACCAAATTTCAAGATTTTTTTTTAACAGTCGCAGGAGATGTCTGCTTGTCTGCTTTCTTCCCTGGCTCATGTTAAACTCCCTACTTCCAAATTTATACCACAAACAATAGGACATTCTGTGGAACATCATTTTTATAAATAAATAAAAATTACAGTCCTGAATTGTGCTATGTAACAAGATGGCTTATGCCAGGAAGTTTGTAAGTAATAGGAATTCATTTCTCACAGCTGTTGGAGGCTGGAAGGCCAAGATCAACTGTGCAGCAGATTCAGTGTCGGCTGAGGGCTGCTGTTCCCAAGATGGTGTCTTGTTACGATGTCCTCATGTGGTAGGAGACAAAATAAGCAAATGATCTGCCCTCAAATAATAGAAAGGATGGAGGGACCAGAAATTTCTTTGAAGCTTCTCCTATGAGGCCAGTAATCACATATGGGTGGAAACCTGGTAGCCTAAGCCTCTACCTCTTATGCTATCACCTTGGGGTTTTAGTTTCAATATATGTATTGTGGACAAACACACACACACACACACACACACACACACTACAAGTAGCATTCTGCCCCTGCCCTTACTATGTGCTTGCTCTTGTCACTGGCAGAATCCATGCATTCCATCTCAGTAGATCCAAAATTTAACTAATCCCAGCAAAAAGTCTTAATTCAAAAGTTTCAAATCTCATCTAGTCATATATGGGTGAGAGTCAAAGATGTGTTTCTTACTGAAGCAAATTTCCTTCTTGCTGTGAGCAGGCACCGTCCAACATATCATAACAGGGGGTGCAGACCCAGGATAGACATTCTTGTTGCAAAAGGGTGGGAAGAAAGGAGGGAATGAAAGAAAGAAAGAACACTTTAGTTATTTTCTCAGCCAGTCTTAAGGATTTCTCCAGTCTTAAGGATCAAGGACAACTTAATCTTTGTCTCCAGGCTCTGCCTTCCGGGTACTCTGGAGTACGCATGTAAGGGGGCACCATCCTCATAGCTTTCCCATGTGCGGTTTGAGCCCCAAGGCGCCAGACAGCACTATCTTCATGGTTTTAAGCAGCTCTACCCTCATGGCTGTCCTGGGCACGGATCTAAGGGACTTTCTTCAGTGGCTTTATCTCTGTGGCCGTTCTCTACCTTGGACTCATGACTCTCAAAGGCATCTTTGAAATCCAGCAGAAGGGTCCAAGCCCCTGCAACTTTGCTGCACGATGTGTCACAGTTGCCTCCTGGAGTGCCAACTAGAGGAGCTGAGGAGCTCAATGACCATGTGAGGCAGTGCTGGGCAGCAGAGCCCTTCTTCCAAATTATTCTGCCTGCCTCCAGGGCCTTGCACTCGAGGTGCAGCCTGGATGAACTGCAAAACGCCTCGATTTTGGGTAGTAGGTTCTGGCTTCTGTTTACTTGGCCACATCTACTCCTGATGTCTCCCGAACAGGCTCTCTCAAATTTCCCAATATAGATGGGCTGATAAGTATTAAAAGTTTTAAATTTTACTTACCTTTTGGTGAATAATTCAGCATTTACATCATTTTTCTCTTTTCTCATTTTACTCTAAAGAGTCAACACCTTAGTTATTTTCTCAGCCAAATATTTAATTTAATCATGCTCAGGTCTGCCTTTCATAACACATTGTCAACATGATTAAGCAAAGGTGTATCTACTTTTTAAAATATTTTAAAATTTTTATTTATTTTTATTTTATGTGTATGAGTGTTTTGCCTGCTTGCATGTAAGTATACCAGATGCATGCCTGGTGCCTGTAGAGGCCTGAAGAGGGCGTTAGATCCCCTGGAACTGCAGTTATAGGTGACTGTAAGCTACCATGTGGGTGCTGGGGACCAAACCCAGGTCTTCTGCAAGAGCATCTTGTACTCTTAACAGCTGTGCCATCTCTCCAGCCCCTGTTTCCACTTTGTAACAAGAACTGCCTTTCCTCCATGGTCTAACACTTGCTCCTGACTTCTAGCTTCCACCTGAGGTGAACAGAATGATCTCTTCACCCACATTTCTCGTAGCCTGTTTTTCATGACTGCTTAGAGGCTAAGGAGGCCAAGGTTTTCTCTATGACTCTTTTTCTCTCCTGAGCCCTCACAGAATCACCTATAATGGTCTAGCCATAAATTTTTCATGAAATGTGTTGCTAAAGTCTTCCATTCTCCATATCTATCACCCAGTTCCCAGCTGTCGCCATAATTTTTAGGTATTAGTTACAGCAGAACCCCACTCTTAGTACCAACTTTCTGCTTCATTTTCTTTGAATTTCTGTAACAAACTATGATGGACTGAGTGGCTTATAAGCATCAGAAGTTTATTTCTCATAGCTGTGGAGTCTGGGAAGTTCAGGAGCAAGGTTTTGGTAAGTGTTAGAGAAGGCTCATTGTCTAGTTCACAGATGGTGTCTTCTGTTCTTGCATGGTGGAAGGGGTAAGAAAGCTTTCTTGACCCTTGTGCTGGTTAGTTTTTGTCAATGTGATGTAAACCTAGACAGGCCTGGGAAAAGAGCATCTCAGTTGAGAAGTTGCCTCCATTGGACTAGCCCATGGCCATGTCTGTGAAGCATTTTCTTGATTGTTAATTGATGTGGAAAAGTCTAGCCCTTATGAACTGTGACATCCCAAGGTAGGTGGGCCTTGGCTCTGTATGAAAGGTAGCTGAGCAAGCCAGGGGAAGCAAACCAGTAAGTAGTGGTCCTCCGTGGTCTCTGCTTCAGCTCATGTCTCCAGGTTCCTGTCTGGAGTTCCTGCCTTGGCCTCCCTTGATGATGAACTATAATCTGTAATTTGAAATAAACCTGTTTCTTCCCAAGTTGCCTTTGGTCAGTGTTTTTAGCACAGCAACAGCAAGCAAATGAATGCAGTCTTCTTTTATAATTAAACTATTTCCCTTCAGTGAGGGGTCTACTCTTAGGACCTGATTTACATTGAAAAGACCCCCCGCTCCAGGAATATTTGGGGGTTTAGGGTAGCTGTATAGTCTTCTAAGGGCAGCATTATTGCAAACTGCTTTCTGAGGGATAAATTTGACCTGCAATTGTCAGTGTCCTTAAAACACTTATTTCCCCTGTGAACTTGGGCTGCTGGAGAGGGGCAGGCAGAGGCCAAGGCATTTCCACCTGCTGATTTCAAATGGTTTTGCTCATGTTGAAAGGCCTTATGTTAAACACTGGCCTACTTAAACTTGAGTGACAGAATGAGTCAAAGGGAATCCAACAGGCATGTTTTTATTTGGTCTAGTTTTGTCTATGGAATTGTTATTTCTGGCTAGTTTTGTCTATGGAATTGCCTGGCTTCTACAGGGCCCAAGGGCTTTAGGCCTTTAGCTCTCTGCAGCATGTCACACTAAGAACAGGTGAAGCTGAGATTTCAGGAAAGGCAAGTAACATTTTCAAACCTAAGACAGAGACCACTTTATAGATTGGTTTCTGCCAGGGTTTTCCTTCCCATCTGCCCTCCTGGGCCTGCTTCAGACATCAACCCTGTAGTTGCATAGCTGCTCTGGAGTGAGCAGCAAGCTCAGGGGAGTCAGGATTCAGGAAAGTCTGTTTGTAGTGGGCATGGTTGTCTGCCCACTTACTCTGTGGGTCTTCGGCTATACTCAGGGGTAGCTGGCCACTGTCAGGTGACACCATGCACATCCACTGCAGGTCCTAGAAGGCTTGTACGTTTCACCTTGGAACTTTAAAGAAATGACCACAGGGTCAACGGGGAATGGCAGAACTCACTTAGTCGTGGGGGGACCATGCATGTTTTACTAGGCAGTGACTTAAGTGATGGCAGTCATACTGCTGACTTCTGTTACAAAGTCCTAATTCCTCTCTCCAGAGAACAGTAGCAGGCTTCAGTAAAGACTGGCCATGAAAAAGCCAAGTGTGCCTGAAAGTCCAAATCTTGTGCTGTCCAAGGTTCTCTGTTCTCAGCAGCCATGCTGGTGTCAGAACTGCTCTGTACAAGGGCTGACATTTGGCCACCTGCCAATTATGTACCAGCATCCTTGTGGCCAGGACCAAGTCCTTTCCTAAGCAACTATAAAGTCATAGGTCAGTGCCTCTCAGGACAGGCACAAACCAGAATGAGAGGGAGGAGTGTCCTCTAGAGGTGTGGAGGCTGGCAGGTTGCATGCTTCCTCAGGGGAGCCTCTGCTCTGTGCTGACTCTGATGAGGTCCTTTCCCACTCCGACTTGGCCCACACCCACCCTGCACCATCTGCCTGTTCCCTGCTGGCGCGCTGTCAGCCTCACAGCACCGCGATGAGCTTGGAAAGCTGGAGCCTGGCTTAGCAGAGGCTGAATCTGAATTTTTTCCTCTGCTTCCCACCCTGGTCCCAGCTCCCCCTCTTTGCCCCCCTCTCCACAACCAATTTATCTGCCAGTCCAGTCTCCAAGCAGAGCTGGGGCCAAGTTGGCCACTTGCCCACACTTATCAGCCTCTGTGACCAGATGGCATGAGATCAGCCTGTGGCAGGGAGGACAGGGCTGGGAAGTCCCTCTGTGCAGAGCTTCCTCAGTGGGGAGGTGGGAGGCCAGAATGTTCTCCAGGTCACAAAAGAGGTATGGGGGACAGGGATGTCCTGTCCCTGAGGGACATACTGAACTGCAGAGCATGTCTGTGTGTGCACATGTGTGCCCTTGTACACATGTGTATGTATGGATATATGTAGAGTGTGCATGCTTGCATGTACTTTTGCATGCATATGAACCACAAGTGTAGGTGTGTATGTATGTGCATATTCCTGATGCTATGGAGAAAGTGGGAGGTGGCACTCAACATGCCCTGGGTATCTGGAGTCTCTGAAGGTGTGCCACCTGTCTCCTGTTCTGGGACTGACACATGCAGCTGACTGCATGCTTGGCTGCCTATCCTCTTTAGACCAGATACACTGTTACGCTGCAGACGGCACATTCAAAGCTGCAGGGTAGCCTCCCTGGCTGGAGAGGGGCTCCCGCCACCGACAGGAGGCAGTATGTTGCTCATTGTCCCATTCATCCAGATTCTGTAGATGCCACTTCCTGGGTCCACACCTATGGAAGGCAGGGCACTGGGAAAATGGGGGGAAATGGGAGGAGAGATGCTTCTGCCACAGCAGAGGATGGAACAGTACTCAAAGTCACCTGCTACCACCACTGGACACTTTCTCCCAGCTGGCTTTTCAAGGAAGTGAGAGTCCACTTCTGGTGGGGGTGGCTTCCTGGCCTCCCTGGCCTCCCTGTTTCCACTCTCACCAGTTCACCCTCTGCCACTGGTGGCTCTGCCCAATCTGTCCTAGATGGGTCTGGCCTCTCCTTGGTAGATGCCCTCCTTCCATCTCTAGTTCTGCTTTCTCTTTAGAGCCCTAGGCTTTATCCACAGCTTCCCAAGACCTCTGTGATAGACACTGAAGAGATTCATGGGCCCTCAAAACTGGCATCCCAGGTATTCCTTTCTCTCCAGCTCTGTATTCTGCCTTGGGGAGGTTCAACTCCCCTCCTCCAGTCTAAACCAGAATATAAGCAGGTTGACCATTGCCCATGATCATCTTTAGCCCTTCCACCATCAGGGCCTGAAACTCAGAATTTCCTTATCCTTGATGGTGACCTTTCAGGAACCCTAAATATTCTCTGCCTTACCATGTTCTCCCCATCTGTGGTGATTTGAATGAGAAATGTTCCTTGTAGGCTTCAAGCATCTGAATACTTGGCCCCAGTTGGTGGTGCTATTTGCAGAGGTTTGGAGAGTGTAGTCTTGCTGGAGGAAGCATGTCACTGAGACTGGGCTCTGAGTTTCATAGCCTTGCCCCACTTCCAGTTTGCTCTCTCTGCTTCCTGTGAGTGCTTGAAGATGTGAGCGTTTGAAGATGTGAGTGCTCAGCTTTCTGATCCAACTGCTTCCTATCAGGTCTCCCCAGCCATCCTTTGGACTCATAAGCCCAATAAACTCTTCCTTCTATAAGTTGCTTTGCTCATGGGTTTTATCACAGCAACAGAAAAGTAGCTAGTACACCACCTTATCGCATCCCCTTCCCCAACACATTTAATTTGCCCTTCAGACTGTTCTAAATAAACTTCTTCCTTTCCAAGCAAATAGAATCTTTCCACTCAGGTGACAAAGTTCTCCTGTGGTCTCCCTTGGCTTTAGCAAGCCCCCCTTTTCTGAGGCCTCTCAAGCTGCCCTCTGACTTCCAACATGATCCCCCCTGCCTCCTGCATATACTCTACCTCCTCTGTGGTTTAGACAACTGGGCCAGCGTAGCCCAGCAACTGCTGAGTCCCCAGGTCAGCCTACTCTAGCCCTGCATGTTATAGACCTTTGCAGGATCAGAACTGTCTTTATGTTGCCCACTTCTGCATTCTGTATTTGTACTACATCATGAAAGCATGCTCACCTATCAGTACCCTTCCATCTTGTTCACAGAGGTGTGCCTGGTCCTGCCTGGTCTGACTCACACTCAGGCTCTGACCACAGACGTGCCCTACCCTACCTGACCTGGCCCTAATGCCTGGACTTCTTGTTCTGTCTGATGTCTCATAGAGCATCTCTTCTCCTCTTCAACAAGACAATCCTTCAGGTCAGTGGTTGTGTGTTGTATGTACCTGTCTTGCTCCCCCTGCCCCCAGGATTTGTTCCCTGCTCTGAAGCCATTAGCTGCTAGTGTGAACATGCTTGGCCTTGAATTCAGGTTTGTTTCCCATGAACTTGAGTTGACTTTGTAGTTTTCCCACCTTAATGCACCAATGAATCTTAGGTGCTCTATTCAATGTAGATGCCATCTGGGGGTGTGGACAAGGACCTGGAAATCTGGATTAAAAGTATTTTATTTATTATTTTAATTTTATGAGTGTATTCCTTGCATGTATAAAAGTGTACCTATGTCACCTGTGTCATTTAATGCCCTCAGAAGTCAGAAGAGGGCATTGGATTCCCTGGAACTGGAGTTACAGATGGTTGTTAGCTACCATGCAGGCTCTGGGAACAAACCTGGGTCCTCTGCAAGACCAGCCTGTGCTCTTACCTGCTGAGACATCTCTCCAGGCCTGAAAACTGGATTTTTAAGTGATGTACCATGGGGGGGAGGGCATCTCCATTGTCTACTTCTCAGTTTTTGATCCTTGGAGACTGTTCTCTGACTCTGTCTCAGTCTATGCTGTTGTGCCAGAACACGGGGGACTGGGTGGTTTACAGAGGTCAAAACTTACTTCTCATGGTCCGTATGTTGTGAACCCAAGATGAAGAAGGCCAGGGCAGAAGGCAAGGGGAGGTAGGGTGAATGCCATGTCCTCTCAAGGCAGAGTGTGAGAGAGTCACCCTGCTCCCCCAAGTCCTTCTCACTGTGGCCATCCCGGTGCTGAGACCTAACAGCCTGGGTTGCTCTAGCCTATGCCTCAACATTGCTGTACTGAGAGAGTTTCTACCTGGTAGTGGAGGGTTCAAACCACAGCAAACCAGTTCTCGTGCTCTGCCATGCAGGACAGGGTGCTGAAGTCAGGGGCCTGCCGTCCTGGGGGGCCTGAGAAGATCTCTAATCACTCCCTGTAACTTAAAGTCCTTGAACATATCTGGCACAGCCAGCTTCCCACCTTGGTCTTGGGTGGCTTTGGTTGTTTTAAGTATTGACAGCATATCATAGACTGTTTCACTTCTGTAGTCTGTGGAGAAGCTGGAATCCCTTGAGGGAAGGCTAAGAGACAGCATCAGCTGAGGAGCAGGTACAGGCCTGGAGATCTGTGGAGGAGCTGTGCACCCTGCTTCCTTAGGCTCCCTGCCTTCAGCAGGGCTCCCTCTTCCCCAAAGCAGCAGTCTCTGCCACTGGAGGGCAAGGAGGCCCATAACCTGCAGATTACCAGTCTCCGTTCTGTGCATCTATCTATGTGTGTGTGCATGCGTTTGCATGTGGGGAGACTGCAAGTGCGCATGCTGTGGTTGTGCATGCTGAGGGCTGAGACATGGAATGAGCAGTGCCTACCATCCTGGGGTTTCTTCCCAGCCCCTGATGTGCTTTGCTGTCCCTTTGGCTATGTAGAACCTGCATTCTTCATTGCCTGACCCATCCTTACCAGTGCTCTCCTTTATCCATTCATGCACAGAGTGTCCATGCAGCATGGGCAGAAGGCTCGGGTCCTCTAGGTGCTGCAAGTGTGTTGGTGTACATGAATGAGCTGAGCCAGGAAGGTGTACAGCCCTGGAGGCCACACCTGGGTACCCCGAGGCAGGGAACCTTAACTGAGGATTCCAGATCTGCTGTGCACAAGGTCATATGCAGGGGATCCCAGAGCCCAGGACCCACCCAGGCCACTGGGCATCAGTAGAACATGGAGGCAGCGGAGAGGTAGGACATAGTTAGGGTCTGTCTGTATTTAAAAGAAAGAAATAGGAACCGGAGGAGAGGAGAGGGGTGGAGGAGGGGAAGGATGAAGACTAGGGCCTGGTTGTGGGAGAATCATCCCATAATGCTCTTCAACATGGACTCCCGATGAGAGTGCTAACTTGTGAATTTGGATTTCTACGTCCTGGGTTATTTTCTCAGGTGAAATTCAGTCTTAGATGTGTTCTTCATGGGGTTTTATGGTCTTTTCTATGTGTGTCCCTAAGGCAGGGATAGGACGAGCTGGGCCTTGCTGCTGGTTTTCTTAGAATCCCAACCTTGAGGCCCTGCTCAGCTGCCCCAGCTGCCAGGAGGAGCCCTGGATCAGTCCTTCCTGCCTAGGTGTACTGGCTGGGCAGGCTCCTCCTTCCATCCCTCCCTTCCTCCCTCCTTCCCCCTCCCTCATCCTTCCCTCCCTCCTTCCCCTTCCCCTTCCCTCCCTCCCTCCCTCCCATCCTTTCCTCCTTCTTCCCCCAATCTTTCTCTCCCTCCTTCCCCCTTCTTCTCTCCCTCCCTCCCTCCCTCCTCCTCCCTCTTCTTTTTTCCTTCCCTTCCTCTCCTCCCTTCCGTCTCATCCTCCCTCTTCCTTCCTTCCCTCTGTCTCTTCCTACTTCCCCCTCTTCCTCTTATTCCTCCATCAAACCCTGGAGGCCCTGAGGCCCCTTTCAGGTGTGTTCCCTGGGAGAGGTAGGTGGTGCCCAAAGACCTCTAGGTAGACCTCTCTTCTGTGACCCAGGAACCCCTCTGGGGTTTGTGTCCTCTGGCCGTCATCAGCCACCTACGTCCATATGAAGCAACATGACCCAGTTTTTCTTCTCAATACCTCTAAACAGCAAAGGCCTCAAGTCTGTAATAGACATTTGTGGGGTATTGTCTAAAACATAAATGAGGCTTCACTTCAGAGGACAGAGCTCTGTTCCCTGGGGAGTCCTGTGAATAGTGCACCACAGATACAAATGGCTAACTCATCGCTATCATCTCTCTCAAAGCTGATAGTGCCAAGAGACAAGCCAGTTACTTGCCTGAGTCCCATCCAAGTTTAACAGATAGTTTCAGAGCTTTAAACTAAATGTTTGAGAATGACCTCTGATATTTTGGCAGGTAACCATGGATTCCTTCAAACAATAGGGAATTTAAGTTTCTTGGCTGCTTGGACAAGCTAGGGGACATCAGTCAAGCTGTGTGACAGACACAGTGAGGGAGAACTTATGAACTTCCTACAGGAGTCGCATCTTTCAAGCACAGATGCGGGGTGGAGGCTTGGAGGCTTGGCGGCTAGAGCAGCACCTTCGTCTCCCTGGAGTTGAGCTCTGTGGACAGTTGGACATCCGCCTGGGGCTGCGCACGTCTGCTCCCTCCCAAGCTCTGCCAGCCTCATGCTGTGGAGACCAGCTGCCCGGCTCCTGCTTTCAGATGTGGGCAGAATGTGAATCTGCCGAGCTCTCACAGATTAAAAAAAGAAACCCCGGCTGCTTTTATGTCTGTTGGAAGCAGCCTGCATTTTGAGAGCGTGGGGCTCAGTGCTCACAGATCAAGAAATGTCCCAGGCTGACTGCTGGCTTGCTGTCTATCATTTCAAGGGGCTCTTTGGAGACCAGGGGTGGAGGGGATAGAGCAGCTCAGCTGACCAGAGGTCCAAGAAAGCAAAGGAAAAATGGTCAAGGAAAACAGGATTGATTCCTGTGCCTCTCTGAGCTGCAACCAGTCTGGGAATCCACTTCTGCACTTGTGCTTTAAAGCTGTGGGGTGAGGGGATAGTGACCTTGGGGACAGTTCTGTCTTTGTGTCTGGGAAGTAGAAGAAGCAACCAGGGCAGACTCTAGAACTGTGCTTTGTGGGCAAAAGGGCGTCCTGGAGACTGCTGTTTCTGACGCTGGGTGAGCTCCTGGCAGGAGCAGAGTGCTCAGTCAGTCTGATGGGGGAGGAGATGGTCTGCTTTTATCATGTGCTCTGAAATCAGGCTGAGGCCATTGACTCCTGGGCTTCCCTCCTTTTTCCGAGCCACTGTCCTCTTCATGGAAAGTGGGGATAGAGGTGGGCCAGTGGACACAGCGGTGGGCATTTGGAGCATGGATCCTCTCCATGAGCCTTAGTGTCAACTCATCGCGTAAACGTGCATGGAGAAGTTTATACATGCAAAACATACATGTGTGTATTTGCAAAGGGGAAAGGGGTGTTTGGTCAGTTGGTCCCATTGTTTGGGGCCTTTGCTAGTTGCTATAACAAATGACCACAAACTCAACAAAAAAAATGCAAAACTGTATTCTCTGATAATTGTGGAAGCCAGAACTCCAAAATTATTCCATAGGGTGACCGTCAAGGTATACCAGGCCATGAAACGCCTCCTGCCTCATCTCGTCTCTGGTGGCTGCCAAAGCACTGTGACTTGCAGCTGTATCCCTCCTGTGGTCACAGCCTCTTCCTGTCTGTATCAATAGCCCTCTGCCTTGCTCTTGTAAAGACTGTGCCTCAGTTAGGGCCCACCTAAGTACTGTTCCCTGTCACATCTGCAAAGGCCCTGTTGCCTGGTTTCTGGGGAACTGTACCTGCAATTTTGGGGAGCCATGACATAAAGGAATGCTTCGGGGCTGGCGTGATGTATAGCTTCAAAAGAGAGAACTTGAGCACGGAGTGAGATTACAGTCCCCAGACAGCATCTGCTCCAGCGACTGGGCTGGGATTGTACCCAACTGTCTGGTCTGAGGCCTGTGTTTCTGCTTGTGGGAGCCTCAGTTTGTTCCTTCATAAAGTGGGCATCCTACCCTTACTCCCAGGATAGCCCCCTGGTTTGATGAGACTGTGCGTGGAAGGAATTTGTTACAGGATCCGATGTGTACTGCAGCCCTGGAGAGGTTGTTGCTGCATCTGTCCCTGGTTGGGCGTGGGTTGGCTTTGCACCTTTCTTTGTTTCCATGCCTCATATGGACCTGAAATTCAGCCTGGGATCCTTGGGGCGAGGCTTACATAGAAAAATTGGAAATGGGGACTGGGGAGGCAGCCAGGGAATAAGAACACGGGCTGTACAAGCATGAGGATCTGAGTTCACATTCTCAGCATCATGTAGAAGCTGGACATGACTGTGTGTGTCTGTAACCCAGAACTGGGGTGGGGGGCAGAGACAGGAGGATCCCTGGAGCTCACTAGCCATCCAGCCTAGCCAAAATGGCCAGTTTCCCATTCACTGAGAGACCTTGTCTCAAGGAAAT